CTGCTGGGAAGCAATACAAATTGGTTGCGTTTGATGAGTTTTCCCTGGGAACTAGACCCATTTCCAATGGATGAAATGTCAGAAGGGTTTTAAGGGTTAGCATCATAATCAAAAAGCTCCTTTTTTCTGTTTGTATTTTGAAGCTGTTGTGAACTTGCAGATGTTTAGAGAAGTAACCTGGCATGTTACTGGATGCTGGACATCACTTCCATGCAGCTGGCGGAGGGGTGATCGGCCCCAATTCCATGTCCATTGCTGGCAGTGGACACCCCAGAGCTGGCACAATTACAGAGGGTTGATAACTTGCCACTCATGTTCAACACCTTTTTATCAGACTTTACACTTATCTAGGCATTGAAACATGGGTGTGGGGTATCAAACTGCTTGACTGACTTTACATGTGTGTTTGTAATTTATGCACAGCGTTATATGTTCATCAACAATAAGGGCAAACAAAAAAAAAGGGTGTATCAAATGAACTCCACTGTGCCAAATACTCGACAAATATTGTAGCTGTAGATAGTTGATTCTTGGTTTTCAGCCATGTTAAGAATCACTTGATTAATGAAGGAGTTTGAGGAGAAAAAAAAAGTTATTAAGCTATGCAGTGCTATTGTTACGTTGGGTGGTAAATGATGCTTTTTAGACTATTAGATGAGTTTAGTGTATCCTGTCTGCTAAAATAGAGATACTGCATCCATAAAACAATGAATTTTAAAAAGGCACAGGGTGCATAACTGTCTCATAAAATATGTATAATTGTCAAGTATAAGCCTTTGAAATCATTCTGTACAGTTCTCTTCGTTCTGCAAATTTATTACTTAGACTGCTGTCTTTTCAAATGTTAGCTCATAATTTTGTACTATACGCACACATTCAGATTCAAACACAAATGTCACAGAACAGAACCTTTCTAAAAGCCTGATTGCTTGAAATTCTATAACCCCTTTCACAATTCCATTTTTTTTCCCCTCTGAAAGTCCAAGGTGAAGGAGAATAGCATGCTAACATGATGCAAAACAAACTCCTGGTGTTCAAGAGCTGTGGTTTGTCAGTACAGTCAAAAGTTCTCCTTGACCGGAGTTATAGAAAGAGGATTCCAGGGCACTTAATGTTTTCTTTTTTTATTTTTGGTTTGGGGTTGTTTTTTTTTTATTATTATTATTTTTCATTTAATCTCTTCTCTTGGTATGTATGGGATATGCAGTTGAATGGGGTTACTTACATTATTTTTAAGCTGCAGCTTAACATTCCTGCATGATTGTTGTTTTATTTGTTTTGATAATGCGACTTTTGAAAAGCTCTCTCCCCATCCCACTCTTTTGTTTTGGTTTTGGTTTTTTTTTAAGGTTGTATCAGATGCCTGCATTATGAAGGGCTTTACTGTCAGTGCTTTGGTACGGATTCAAGAACAGAGCTTTAGTTTAAAGAAAACACACAGACCAGAAGCTTCATCCATCCCAGCAGGTTCTCTCTTTGTTTTTTCTGATTTCAAAATCACAAGCCAGTTTTGCCTGCAACCCAGTTTTTGTTATAGAATAACAAACAAAGAGTCTCGGACATCCTCCCACTTCCCAAATTGCAGTACTGGCCTTCGCCTGTCAGCACTTCGCTTCCATCCCGCAACTGCCTTAACCACGCAGGAAACTTAAGAACAAGGATGGAGATAGAAAAATGTCCATTCCTGGGAACAGAAACAGGGGCATGGGCTGAGCTGTGCAGTCCAGATCCAATGTTGGAAATTTTTTTTTCCATAATCAGGGGCATTGAAATTCAGGGTTTTGTTGAGACCTCCGTCTCAGCAGAAATGTTATTTTGACATTTCCAAGCACTGTGTTCCCTGCATGGCTGTCTGCTAAGGAATGAGATGTTGGAAAAAAAATAAAGTAATTGAGAATTAGTGGTATCTATGGGATTGTCCAGTTGCCTTGCATGACTTCAGGTTGGGGTTTCCTTTTCCTTGCACAGATTACCACCTTGGTGTAGCCCCAGTGGAATCAAAAGGGGACCCCAATCTCAAATTGGTGCAGATGAGACTAGAGTTGGTTTCTTTGCATCCTTGGTAACAAGGGGGGATGCATTTTCAGAACCTTCTTTTTATGCGTATTGAAATAATAAATTTTTTCTGACTTTGCCTGGTACACTTTGGATGTATGGTGGGACTGGAAAGGCCATCGCTTGAATTATCTAGACAAACCTCCCGTTCCTTGGGAGGTGAACTAATAGGGGCCTCACACTGCCATAGCCCTGCGAGATGCACTGAACTACACAGTGCTGCTGCTGTTAATGTCAGTTGGGTCTCACCTTGCTGGGAAGGTGAAAAGGGAAAGATGCAGAGAGAAATTAGCTTCAATTAGTTGAGTTAGCTATGCTTCAAAATGCCTCAGAATTGAACTGATGATCTGCAGACGTTTGGAAAGTGATTGGAGTATTTCCAAATGGCTGAGATGCATTGGCATTTCTTTTCTTGAAACAAAAAAAAATTAAAAGTTAAGGCAATGAATGAGATTTGGAGTCCCTCCTATCTCCATCAAAGTTTTATGTTCATGACATTGCTGTTGGAAGCAATGTACTTCAGGTTTGCCTTTGTGTCTCAGTCAGACAGATATTTTTTCTCAGTAAACGAGGTCCTGGGAGACAGAAAAGCGACTCCGTCTCGTAACCAGCAGTTTCACTCTGCAGCAAACCCAAGCCAGCCTGAAGGCTACTGTGAAGCTTTAGCCCCCGAGTCAGCCACGGCTGTTGCTGCCTTGTCGGAGTTTCTCACAGCTGGGTGTGTTGGGTTCAGTATTTTCTTAAGGCTTGGACAATCTTGGTGTTATTATGTTTTCTTGTTTTATTCTTGGCAGGTGATGTGGGGAATTGTCAGAATTAAAGTCATATGTGAGTGCTTCGTTGGACTGATAACAGCTTTGTTCCTTTATTCACAAGGGTTTCCAGACTTATTCCCATTCTGTCTTTAGTCACAGCCATGCTCATCTGCCCCCCTAATTTCACATGAACTATCTTTGCAGACAGAAGCAGGTTTTTTGTTTTTCTGTCTCTAGTTCTGATGAATGCCTGCAAAGTTCACAGGCTTTCTGTGCGTAGGGCAGCGCACCCCTGAATACAAGCAGTAATACTGACCTGTTCCCGTTTGCATTAGGAGTTTTTGCTTGTCTTACCTAAATCTGAATTCACCTCTCCCAACATCCCATGCTGCTGCTGTGACTCGCCTTTTTTGTTGGCAGCAGCTCCAGGAGACAGCTTCAGTTATCTGATGGTTGAGATTGATCCAAGGAGGAAAGGAACAACCAGGGCATTGTGGCTGAGCTGCCTGGAGTCCCTGAAAGGATTATCCACTCTTC